TTTGCCTGTGCCAACCAGTGCTCTCCAAGATAACAACCTGGCACCATTTGGGAGATAGCACAGGGTAGCAACAATTCCCACTGAGCAACACAGACACAACTGCACCGGCTGAGGCTGTGTGCAGTGTCCTTCAGCAGCATTCCAGCAGGCTTTGCACCCAGGCTGGGCAAAGCACATCCTTTTCCACTCAGAGTACAGCTGTAACACAGTGTGTCGGGCACTTTGAGATGAATCAGAGACACAGAACTTTATCTGTGTTTTACATTACAGAGGCTCTGTGGGAGGCCAAGGAGACCAGCAAGTCTGCAGATGCAGCCAGCCTGTGGCATTTTACCAGACAGCCAGAGAATGGCCCCTGCCCCTGTTTTATTTACATGAAAAACATGGATTTTTCTCAAAAGCTGAATTGTGCTTTTGTATCTTGGAACTGGGACACTTGTAGTTGGCAGTAGACTGTTGACCTCTTCCTGGGTCACAGAAAAGTCTGAAGCTTGGAACTTCGGAGGAATGTGCAAAAGATGTGGCCAGAGGTTCCTTCTGCTTCCTGGAAGACAGTGTACCCCATTAGGTCATCTCCTGTCTGTATGCAGTTGGCACCTGAGAGAGCTGCCAGCTACAGAGCTCGTAGTAGCAGCCAAGTCCTGTGCTTTTTTTCATCCAACAGTGGCAGGGAAGACACTGCAAGGGTCTTCAGAACCCTAAAGAAAACCGTTGGAAAAGGAAAGTAGCCAGCCTTGAGATTCAGAAAAGCCCTCTGGAGTTGCAGGGGTGTTAGATAACCAAACCAAAAATTTGAAATATAACATCACTATTATCTCATTTTCTTTCAAAAAATGCTACCTTTCCTCTCCAGCTGCTAGTCCAAGATGGTGAAATGTCTCTTTCCACCTCTTTCTTAGTTAGTGGTATATTAATGTATTTGGTAAAAGGGACAGGCCATAATTCCTAGGCACCTGCATTCAGATAGGCTTGTTTTGCACTCCCCTGATAGGTGTGATTGGCAGGGAAAGAAGGCAGATTTAGCTAAAGCTTCTTTCTAAAAATAGTTAATCAATTTCAGTTCAAGGCTCTCGGGTTATAGGAAAAGAAAATGATTTCACTTGGGCACATAATGAGCTTGGATAATCAGTTTTCCTACTCAGAAGCAATGAATCCAAGGGTTTAAAAGAAAAGGAATGTTATTAAGAGGGATAAAACAGCAACTCAGCATAAAAATTCTAGGCCTGTTCATTAAAATCAGCAATAGAACCTTCTTGTATATTTTTCAATGTAGCCCTCACTCCTGTTTTTCCCAAGCTGAGAGAGCTATTCTCCATCTGTAAGGAGTTGCTGTTCTTAAACTGCTTGTACTGTTTCCAAGCACAGTGATCCCACCCCTGACACCGGGTCACTGCTCTTCCAGCTTCAATCCATGAAGCCTTGGCTCTGTCAGAGAGGAATCTGTGGCAAGGAAAGGACAAAGTGAACCCTGAGGAACATACCATTTGAGTTTTGGTTGTGTTTTATACCCTTCTTGCTCCTTGGCTCATTTGCTCTAACACTATCAAGTGGAGCACCACAGGTAATTCCTAACCCTCAAATCACCATTCTCTCGATGAATAAGAGTTTTTAATACCTTCAAATATAAGACACAATTGTATTTTAAACTCAGTGCCTGAGAGTGAAATCCACTGAAGTCAATTCACCTGCTCCCTTTTTGTTGTGATCTCTTGTCACTTCAAGCAGTGCTGGATTTTCCTTTTATCCCATTATAGGCAGGATCAGCAGTAAGTACTCTATTCTTTTAGGAATACTGGGCTTACTTAGCATAGATGTAGCTCTGAATTTGAGTTTTACTTCCCTGTAAGTTTGCAGCACAAAGCATTGACTCATAGAGCTGGCTGAAGATGCTAAAAGGAGTTTTTGCAGCGTCTGTCTTCTATTCTTACAGTTGTCACCATCTCTTTATATGAGCTATTCCAAGTCATTCACAGTTTAGACACCAAAGGTTGAAATCATTCAGGAAAGCATGAGGTAGGCAGAGGTCAGAGGGTTAAATGAAAAGAAAACTAAAATATTGTTTGGATAATAGGAAATATTTATTGAAAGTGATACCCTGCAAAATGACCTGTGCTTTAACTGCAGTGATGCATGAACCTTAACGGGGAAGTAGCCATTACTGCTAGAAAAAGTTGTGGGGAGAGTGCTGCAGAAGCTGGGGTGAAACTGGTTTATTCTACTTCAAATCCTTGTAGTCTGATTATATTTCAAGTGCACTAACTGTTCAGAGGTGACCTAAACAGTTCTTAAATAGCAATTTCAGTGAATGGTTTAGCTAAACCAGAGAAGAACTCATTTTTTTTCCAAATTTCTGACTTGTCAGGTAAAAACACTGGCTCAGAGCTGCCACCCAATGATCAGACCCCGTAAAACCACTTAAATACGGGCTACCTGTGTTGCAAAGCACTGCGTTCTGTGAGACAATACAGTGGAGGCAAACTAATTTCTTGCTGCATAAAAAAGGCAGTGAAAGGCTATTTCCACCTCCATTCTCCTTCTACTCTTCTTTCCACAGATCTGCATATCCCATCACTCATTGCCTTGTCTGCAATAAGACCCTTCGCTTAGAAATTTTAATTGGTTAACCTGTTAACTTCTGTTTTGTTTTGGTTTTCCTTCCATATTGATTTTCTGCTGGTTTATCAATTTGACCCACTTCAGAGCATTGTCAGGGAAGCGCCAACACCAGCACAAAACAAGCAAGAAGGAATGAACTGTTGAGAGCTGAAGAATGGATAGAAGGGAGATTTCAGCTGCAGTGAGCTGAGCACTTATTTCAACTCTGTTCTTGTCTAACTGCATATGACATGGTACCTGGAGATTCAAAGGCTGGCTTTTCATGTATGTGTCTGGATATCCAAAGCACTCTAAAACAAAAAGTTCCACACAGGAAAATGTTCTTTGCCACGGTTGTGGATAAATTAGTCTGTACAGCATTCAAAGACTTCAGGTATTGATTGCCCCCAGCAGCTGTGCTGCCTTACTGAAAACTATAATCTCAGTTATCTCTGCAGCTTTTATGTGTCACCTGTCTGAAAGTGTTTTTTCCTGCCTGAGCCGTACCACTTGGCAAAGCAAAGATGAAGGGGGATTGACACAGGTATGTTCATTTGTCATCAAACAGCTGTCACCCATTTGAGTGCATTATACAACACCAAGTATTTTATACTATTTAGGAGATTATAAAATATTTTCATTGGTAAAAGGTGTACACAGTGCCTTCATATCACTGCAAGAGGCAAATACCCCATTTTGTGCCCAGTGGTGTACCAACAGGACCTTTCAGTCCATCTCTCTTCTGATCTACTCTTTTAATGAGCCCTTCATGAATAGTAAAAGAGCATTTGCTTCCAGCTGAACTATAATCCTGCAATCTGCTTGCTTGCTCTAGTGTCCATTTCTAATGGCTAGCAGGCATTTTTAATGTCTAGTAGGAACAAATTTGTACATCTATGTGTGGATTCATCCCACATTATGTATTGCCTATTAGCTGACTGTGCCCTGAACTGCCTGCTTCCAGTATGCCAAACAACATCAGTAGATTTCTGTTCAGCTCCATGTTTTCTGGACTAGGACCTGCAGTGGTCTCAGAAGACAGTGTTCATTATATACCTGGGGTTATATTGGCCATCAGTGCTGGATGCAACACAGAGAGCCTGCTGTTCCTACAGAGCTGTGCTGTTCAGGGGAGGCAAGAGTGGTGTGTGCTCAGACAGCAGCCACTCAGTACTAATGTACAAAGCAAACCCACAGGGAGGTTTCTACAAGCTGCAATTTGGCCAGTCTCCTTAATTTGAAAGACTTGGACATCTGCCTGGAAACATTCGGTTAATTATTGGTGGTGGAAAATGATTATCTCTTGATTATCATGTTAGCTAAATTTTAACCTCCTTCACTACTTTAACAAAGTCAGCATACTGTTGTCTAATCACCAGCCAATGGTGAGGTAACAATCCTAATTCTGTCCCAAAACAGTTCATATTATTGAGCAAAGCATCAATCTTCTAAAATGGTGAGAGCTTAGGCCCAGACAGGGAAGAACAGGGCATTGCCATTCCCAGAAATGTACTTTGTGATTGCTGCACTAAGTTGTTACACTTTGGAGCTGGAAGGCAGAGTTCTGCAATAAAGACCATTAAATTTGTGAGAAAAAAACATCAGGAAGCATTAAAGACCCTGCATATCCTGCATCATTCAGCCCTTGGGTGGTCCTTACTTACTGCCCAGATCCAGTCCCAAACTCCAGGTTGTACATACTGATGCTGGATGCATGTGCTTTTCTCTGAGAGCCACTTACCTCTGAGCTAGGTAAAGGTCTGTTGGGAGCACGTGGGGCTTATGAGAGCTTCAGTAAGGGTATATGTACATTGTGGGGTGATTTGTGCATTGGAGGATTCCTGAGGCTTCTTGTATATTTCCTGTTCCCTTTAGGTGGAATAAGCTGTTGTTTCTTTGGTTTTATTTTCACTAGCTTGGCCTGTAAATACCATAAGCTTTCACAAACAGCCTGATGCCACCTGTTCTCAGGTGAATTTCCATTTGCTTTAGCACATTTCTGCTGCTGGGACAACCCTGGTTGGTTCCCAGCGCATCCTCTGTACTCTCTGGACTGCAGGGGTAGCTGTCAAAGTGTCATGAATCTTCTGGCAAACATGAGCTTGCTCACAAACACACACCCCTTTCACCACTGCCCTCTTACACCACTCACAGGTCCTGCTCCAACTTATATGCTGAGCAGGTGAATTTCTGTGTGGGTTCCTCTCAACACAACATCCTTCTGCAAGGGTACGGACCTCACACAATAATCCTTCCCACCGTACCAGTGGTGGGAAAAACAAAGTGATTTTTTTCTTGTTTGCATATTCAGACTTATCTCACACTGCTCTTCCCAGAGACACTTTAACAGAGAGGGGAGAAAGCACCAGGACCAAATCTGCTGTTGCCAGCTAGCAGGCAATGGGTTCAGGTTTCACTGGCAGGTTTATTGGATGGTGGAAGAAAAAGACTCATTGTTGAACGCACTCCAATCTTCAACTTTCATCTTCTAGGAATTGTCTTTTTTACCCCCTCCATATTTCTTCTTCATAGCTTTCCACACGTTAATATCTAGGAAGTATTTCTCATACCATCTCCCTGTAAAGAAGGCAAATCAGTTCAGTTACAGCTTCCCTCCTAGTCCTATCACACCCCAAGGATTATTCTAGCTGTAGAGCTTCTCTCTTGTTAAAATGCCAGTTTCTACTCCCCTTGTGCCTCTGTTCAAATTCATCCTTTGTCCTTGGCAGAAGCAGCATCCATCTCAGGAATTCAGCAATGTACTTTTCCTGGCAGAAGTCATACCTAGCTCAGTAATTGTCCTTCCATGCCAATGTCTGGGATCTATGACTGCCTTCTGAAATATGTCAGGGGTGTAGGAATCTCTCATCAAGCTTTGAATCTTCAGTGGGCCACCTGCAAGGAACAGCAAATAAGGAATTTTATGTAGAAATCACCCTACTGCAGTCCTGGATTTGAGCAGAGGAGCAACACCAGCAGTTGCAATGGCTCAAGAAAAGGCATGTGTTGACTGCAGTACCTTTGATCAGGTTTGAGGCTGGGTGCTGAACAATAGCTTCATCATCACCACCCAGGAAGCTGCTTGTGTTTGCCAATTTATCTGCTTTTTTATCCTCAAGTATGAGATGCACACAGAGGGTGCTGCAAGGTATCATCTTTATTTGTATCCCAGTGCCCTTTCTTCAGTCAAGTGCCCACTTACCTCCTGTTGAATCTCCTTATCCATGTGACTAGCTTCCTAGCAGTTACTAGCATCACAACTCCACAAAACCCCCACCATCTTACCACTCCAGGCCTTCTTGATCTCATTTTCTGCCACAATACTTAACAAAGAGTTGCCAACTGTGACTTCTCTATTTATCCCCTCTTTACTTGTAGCCACGAGGGGGCTTTGTTTTAATCTCTAACCCTTTCCTCTTCACCTTCTTTTTAATCACACTTTTGTCTTGACGACATTGATTCTGAGCTCCCTGAGGAAAGATGTCCTTCTTTTCTGTGTGACCACACAAACCCAGGACAATGCAGTCCTCAATACTCAGCAAGGTCTTGTCATGGAACATTCTGTATAAGGAAAAGGAATCTGCCTTATGTTGGTACATGAGAAACTACAGCAGGGACAATTATTTCAGAGTTTCTTGGACAAATGCTCAGTTTTCAATATGTGCTTAGATCCTGGGGAACCTTGGAAACAGAGGTTAGGGAAAGATATTTTAGAGCTCCACATGTCTAAAGGTCTGGAAGAGAAATGATGTTGGCACTGGAATTGCAGGTAACTAGCAACTGGAGACGACAGGGAACATTGAATTGCAAGTGGTGTCCATTTGGACAACTCTGGACAGGATGACAGAGGTTATGACTCACGTTTGCTTTTCACACTGTGGGGAAAAAATGTGAAAGAAAAGAAAGGGATAGAAAACATAAAATGAGGGTGTCTAGATTCCAGTTTCTCAGGTACTACAGCCTGGAAAAGCAGTGACTTTGGATAGAAGGAATGAGAGGGGAAAGTGATTATTATATATGGTCAGATCTCTACCTGCAGCAATGTGGCTACCTGAGCCCTGGCAACGCATAGATGGAACCACCTTTGAAGGTCAGGGGTAGGTGGTGTGTCCCCTCACCTTGGAAGAGATTTACTCTCAAATTGTAATCCAGCTGTTGATAATCCGACAGAGATGCCCAGGTCAAGGAGTTTTTTGTCATTTCAGTAGAGTTGTTGGGTCCTTTCTGACCCATTTCTAATGCTGCATTGTCCTCAGCTTGACATTTCTGGAAATACAAACAAGAGGGAAACTCTCAATCCACATTCCCAAAGTGCAAAAAACTTCTGGCATTTCCACCCCTGCACAGCTCTTTGAGCTATGACTAATCCCTGGGACCTGGGTCTGTCCTTGAATTTCCCTTAGTGGCTTCTGTAGGCATTGCATTTGCATGGGACAATTAGGACAAGAAGTGCCTTTCCTGCAGAGGGAACATCTGTGTAACCTTCTGTTATGTTCTGCTTGTTGGGTGCGCTCCTCATCCCAGGGGCACTTGATAGGTTTAGCCCATGCAAAGGCTGTGACAAGTTAAAACTGAGGTCCTGGCCCATAGTGGTGGAATATGGTAATTGTGAGCCTGCTGGCACTAGCAGCCTGACAAATGGGATCTGGATCAGGTAGGAATGGACGTTTGGATTCGTCAGATTAGCTCAGGACATGACACAGGTCTTACCTTCTGCTCTTGAGGCAATTGTGGGAATGAAGATGCCAGCCCATGGGATAGGAAGCCTAGTGCTCCACCAGGGAGCTTGAATCAGCAGCAGCTTGGGTTTTATACTGAGATGGGTCTTTGCAGCACCAAGTCTTACACAGTATTGCGATCCTGAAGCTGAAGTTACTGTATCAGCCAGACTCCAGGAGTCAGTGCTGCATGCTCTGCAGAACCTCTCCCATAAAAAGAACAGAGCCACAAGACATGAGGAGAGGAAGCCAGTCCTGACTCACAGGGAATGATCTGCTTCTTTTCTCTATCACTCTTCTTTCTTTTTAAAGAAGAGCCATACACTTACACATGATCAAAGTGCAGGAAGCTGCTGCTAAATAAACTGCTGTGCTAACTCCCACCTCCTACTTAAAACAAAAACATGTCTGTTTGTTATTATTACTATATTTGGTAGGAAGAACTTTCCAGTCTGCTGATGATTCCTCCTCTCCCATTTCTTCCAACAAAGCAGAATTTCTGTGTAATGAGGAAATGTGTTCATTTCCCAAATCCCTTTCATCAATAATTTCCCCAGCTCCTCTTGGATAAAATGACACCAAAGCTTGCAACTGTTCCTACTTTCTAGTTTGTAACTGTATATGTATGATGTTGTTGTCACTGTTATAAAAACACTGCAACTGCATGTGATTGTGATTTTTAATTTTATTCCTGACTCTGAAGGTCCAAAGTCAAAGCACTGCTCAGAGAATCCCACATTTTGAGGTCAAGAAGGACGTCAAGGCCATTTTGCCATCCTCCTGGATAACAGAAACCACAGAAGTATGTCTACTTATTGCTTTGCTAAACCAATTCTGTGAGGGACAATAGGCAACCAATCAGAGAAGATGTATCTTGATCAAAGAGCTAAAGAGGGTTAAACGTGATCTTTCTTTCTGAACGAAATGTTTAGCATAGCCTAACGCTGACTTTCCTGACATGCAGCCTTTAAGGAAGGTTGTTCTTCTCAGGCAGAAAATCTCCTTAGACAGATGTGGGAACTGGCCACCCTCACCAGCCTCCAGACATGGCCAAGAGTGGGCTCATAGCCCTTCCACATTTGACTGGGTCTCTACAGTGTGAGGAGGTTTCAGTGACTCCAAACCTGAGGAGCCCCATGGATGTGAAAATGACATTTCTCTCTCTCCTTTTTTTTTTAAGGGATTAAAAAAATCCAAATATCTATGATTAACCGAGAGCAAAGCCTCTTCCATAACCACCTCTCTCACCTGGTCCATGATCCCTGGTGTGGTGACTGGTGGTGTGCAGAAGCAGGTAGGTCCTGCTGGAGTCTAGGTATGGAGGCGGGATGAAGGCTGAAGAGTCGAGGTGGTTGCTAGGGAACAATGTTCCGTCCCTCTATGAGCTGTGGGCTACAGCTCCATGGGAAAGATGAAGTTTTACAGTGTAGAGAAGGGTTATCCTCGCTCATTGGGAAAACACACAAGGAACGGAGTAAAAGGCTCATGTTTCATTAAATTACCTGTGCCCAAAAGTTCTCATCACACATACAGGATTTCATGGAGACTTTCCTAACAGTCATGATAATAAAAAAAGACCGTATTTCATCAGAAATGGATCTTTAACATTTCCAAATGCTTCACATGGGCTCTCCGACCTCAGCCTTCTTGTTCAGACCCTGTTGCTGCCTACCTGGAATGCCAGTAGAGGGTAATAATCAGTGGGCCATACCAGTTGATACCATATTTTTCTTATATTTCTTTTTGATGTCCCTTACCTGGACCCCAGGGAAGCAACACACATCCCTGTGGTTGGGTCCAGTTGCCATATGGAAGGTACCCCCTTTTTCCACATTCCAAATGGGAAGATGGTGGGTTGGCAAGAAATCTTCCACAGAGTCAATGATGGAAGCACAGCTTGGCCCTCCCATGTCCAATACCCAGTGCTGTATTGTAGCACTGGACTTTGCTTCCATTCTGCTCCTGATCTTTCACCAGGCCACTGGAATTTCTGCAGGTCTTCAGGCACAGAGTGTAACTCTCTTTCGTGCTGCAGAGCTGCTTTTCTTACCCAACACAAGCAGGTCGCAGGTAACAGAAGAGAATTAGAAATACAGATGCATCATCTAAGATTTTATTAATTGTCAAAAATCAAAAGTTCAATAGAAACCTAATGATAATTCCTAAAAAAATTTGCAAAATCGAACCGATTTTTTCTTTACTTCCACCTCCTCCCTTTTGCATTACCCTGGGCTGGAGACAGCTGCTAGACCGTGTTACCCCAGACACAGCTCTCCCTCTAGGCCTTGCTGCGCTTCAACTCAGAGACCTTGTAGTGAGGTGGGGCTCGGTGGAACCACTCGGACCAGGAGCCGTCGTACACGGCCACGTCGCGCTTGCCACACAGGAAGGCTGCCAAGGCAATCTGACACGCCGTGACGCCCTTGCGGCACGTGGCCGTCAGCGGCTTCGAGAGATCCACTTTCTTCTCACGGAATATTTCCTGGATCTCCTCGATACTCTTCTCATGCCCTGTTTCTGACAGGAATGAGTGAAAGGGTATGTTCACAGCACCAGGGATGTGGCCAGATTCCAACCCTGCAAGAGTGAACCAGGAAAGGAAACATGAGCAAGGACACATTAACATAGGTGATGAAAGACACAGACATTACAGACATCACTGCAGATAGTCTCCCTCCCTCCAAAAGACTCATTTGTTCCACTTGATGATGAAGATGCAAAGTGGTATTAGGCTAAAAAGAAGAGGACAAATATTATTCAATTTTGCTGAAGTTAAAACTTCCACAATATTTAGCAAACTATTTCCTCACTGAAAGCAATGAGATGTAGAAATCTGAAGAAGCCCTAGATACAACAGGAATCAATGAACCTCCACAGAAAATGCCTTAACAAAGGCATTAAGGGCACCTGCGATAAGAGGAATAAAGCAATGCATTTCCAACCTTCCCCAGGTATGCCAGCAGTGTGTAGTGATATAGTTTCCAGAAGCAGGAAATGTGGCCTGTATGTAGAATTTGTGGAAGTGGTTATCTGTTCACAGTTTACTCCTGCATCACCTTAAATGTCATATTTCAGAAAAATAAGTAAGAAATCATAAAGCAACCTTAAAGTCAGCCACTTCACTTCTGAGGCAGCTATCCTGGGACAATGGGGTCAGAGAAGTCAGAATTCAAATTTTGTATCACTTCTTATCTACTCATGAATGAAATCAGCACAACTTCTGTTTTTCTGCTGCAGTTTCTGACCACCTCAGGCAAGTTCAAAACTGCATGTCAAAAGAAGGTCTTTAGAGAGCTGCAGATATAAAAATACAACGGACAAGGTTGGCATCACACCCTTCAAACTCAGACTCTTACGGTTTAATAATGGAAGTTTTTCCAATCATTTTGAGAGGCTTTGGATCAAGCCTCACTGGAGCCAAAACCATTATGTATTACTGAAAATCTGTTTCAAGGAAGGTTTCCTTGCTAGATTTGAACATCTAATGAGACAGATCTGAAAGAAAACCCACATGAATAGTAAATCTGTTTCACTGGCAGCTTTCTACTTGCCCAAATCATTGGGAAAACTGGTCTTGGGAGATGGGAGTTATTGGGGCAGTTTAATAATTTGACTTTGTTACAGTCAAATGATTAAACTATACCAAGACAGAGATTGACATTATACATAATGACACTGCAGTTTCATCACTATGCAGAGTGGTAACATGACATACTGAGATACAAGGGGAAAATGGCTTTGGCACGGAATTGAAGGGAATTTTTGCACTGCTGAACAAAGACAGAACCTAAAGACAATCCAAGCTTCCCTGAGTCAGCTTCACAAGTTCTCTTCCTGTTCCAGATGGACCCTCTTTGTCTCTTGATTCATCCTCCCTGAGTGTATTAAAAATACGGTACAGTTGTCAAGGAGTCACCTCATGCATCCTTCAGAAATGTTTAGCATTACTGAGAGAAGCTGGGAGAAAAACTGCTGACTTCTGCAGGGACTAACATTTAAAAAGGAAAAGAAAAAATAAAAGAGGCAGCGTTTTGGACTGATGGTTTCACCACATTTTTTCCAGTTCCAGAAGACAACAGCTCATCACTTCAGTACAGAGAACTGCAAAACTCACTCATCAATACAGTGTCTGTATGACAGAGAGGAAATAAAAAATGAAGCAAAAACTGAAAAAACTTTGTATATAGTTCTCAGACTGCAAAGCTGCTTACTGAAGCCTCTTACACGCTTGGGTTAGGCTACCACTTTCCCACACAGTAAATGGGAAAAGATCCATTGAGCAACAGATTTCTGCTGCAGTCCTGGTGATCACCCCAATATAGACAAGTCTGTGAGCTATCCTAAAGCACTGGGAAGTGTACTGAGATCAGGAAGTCCTGGAGGATGAACTAGAAGGGAACTCTTGCTCAAAGAAGCTTGCTGGGCCCTTGATTCACTTACTAGGTGTCCCAGGCACCATGATCATTACCTCTTCTTTAGACTGTTCACACACCTTAAAATAGGTTTGTACCCCTTTCTTATTGAAGACTGACACATCACCACCCAGAAACAACTCTTCAGGTAAAATCTGATCAGATCTGAAAAAAACCCCACTCATTTTAGAGCAGTTTTGACTTTGATCTATAGGGAGACTTTATTGCTCCAGAGATTCAAAAGTCTGTTGGAGTCAGAGACCAGTGCTTGCACTCTGCAGATGAAAGATGGGGAATTCTCTGGAAACTGCATTTATTTACATATGTGGGTGTTCAGCTGAGAAAAAGAGCTGAAACTGCACAACCACAATCCCTTGGACTGCCTAAGAAGTGCTCTCAAGCGGCTGAGGAAGCTTTATAATCTCTCTCTGCTAGGTCAAGAGCAGAGAAACATAGGACTGCAAGGCAAGGCTGGATGCAGCTGGAATCCAAAGAGGGGAGAGGATACATCTGCTCCTGTCCCATATGAAACAGAGGATACTCCACACCAGATTCATGTAGTCACTGTCAGTAACTCCAGGAAGGAGTCCTAGGACTACAGAGCCTGGGCCCCAGCTACTCAGTAATCATTTTATAAGCTGCCTTTCAAAAAATCATCCATCTCAGAAACAGTTTGGATTCTTGTCATGAAACTTCCCACTGAGGGACCTCTTGGTGCTCACTGAGCCTCCTCCTGGCTTACATGAGGAGGAACATTAATTTCCAGTGATCAGATCATCACAGCCAGTCCATACACCATTTATCCTTGAGCTAACACTGCCCTATGATTGAAGTAGTTTTTCTGCCCTTCTGCTATTGCTCCAACAGACTGATGGCAAGCCCTCAGCACTCCCAACAACCTCCTGTCCTTATTCTAAACCCAGTAAGAGCCCATTAGATACACTTTTCTCTGTCTTGGCCACCCTTGAAACAGCTGTAGGTGTCCAGCAGGCTTCTAGATAAAGAAATGGCATTTCCTACCATCACAGTTGGCAGAACAGGAGTTGCCTAGGCTGTTGCCAAGGCTAAATCACATGTGATGTTCCTGCATCCAACTAATTCATCAAAGTCTTACCCTCTTCTATTGCTTCCAAATGTGGGTCATTGGCTTGTAGGGGAAACACAAGCAGTTCAGTGCTGTGGGCTACTAAGCATTCGAGTTTGCTCTCTGTAGTGTTATACACTTGTACAGGTGGCACCTTACATAATACTCCCCGTGTGATCATTCAGACCTTCCCATAGCAGTGCCACAGCACATTTCAGTAACAAGTCCCTATTTTCAAAGCCTTGATGATTCAGGAAAATACAAAACAAAATACGTAAGCTTAATGATGGGACCATGCTGGCAACTTCCAGACCCACAAATTTTCTTTCAGTACATGCTCTTCTTATCTCACTTATCTCCTTTTCAGTCAAATTTTAAAATCTAACAATACTTGTGCTATTTGCCCTCTCCTCACATTGGCCTAATAAATGTCCCTTGACTGTTACACCCAAAGCCCAAATGACACAACTCTACCTTGTAGGTGCTTCCAATGGCTGGAAAAAAAGATCACACATAACTTCCAGACATGCACGTTTCCATTTCTCTTATCTAGCCAACCAATTCTGTTGGTAAGGAAATAAAGCCCTTGGGTGAAGTGCAAGTCTACCTGTATATTTTACTCAATTTTGCCTTGGTTTAAAATAATTTTTCTTGAAGAGTTTTTTGAAAGCTTCCCAATCTATCCATGTTAGAAGACCAGCAGCTGCCTAGGTTGTGCTGTACCCCCTATTGTAAATATGAAGTTTGCAATGGTTTCTTTCCCATAGAACCATGCTTTGAATAAATGCATCAAATTCTTGTCTCATGAAGTTCCAATGTGACAGGACTGATTTTTGATACATATTTGGGATCAAGATCATCTGCCTCACTGATTAGAACATGGGGATATCTTTTGGTTAGCTCTCTCCCGGCTCTGCAGAATTATCCTTAGGAGAGAAGGAAACATGGTAGCACAGACTCAGGGCTCAGTATAATGCTGAGACCACACACCAATAAACTTCCACCTGGAACCCCCGCTAACTGCACAGCAACCTTATTTATTCCTTCTCTCCTTGTTCTCTTTTGTTCACTCTGTTCCAGAAGATTTTGTTACTTAATTCCTTTTGCCAAGTCTCACTCAGCTTGGTGTCTGGCAATCCTTCCTCACAATTTATAACCTGTAATATGTTATCTTCTTCACTACTTAATTCCCTTTTCCACATCTGTTAGATTCTCTGCTTATATATTGTTTTTATTGTTGGCTATCTATCTAAGACCACAGCCCCTCCTCTCTAGCCTTCCCTTTGTGATGAAAGCTCCAGATGGAATTTCTTAATGTCAAAAAGATAAAAAATTTGCTCAGCCCATATTTAACTCCCTGTGGTTTTGGAGTGTGCTGGCTGCAGATAGTTCTTTTCCAAATGCCTCCTCTGTTGCCTCCTTGTTTATCTCTCTCTTCCATTCAAATGGTATGTCTTAGAAGGGACAATTACTGATCTTGTCTAACCTACCGTGAACACATTGTAAGGAACACTTTAAGCTTGGTCCTGGCCAGCTCCCTGAAAGTCCTCGTAGGTTCCTGTGGGTTGAAACAGACTTTGATAAAAGTCTCTCACTCTCCATTCCTATGCCCCAAGTATTATTACATGATCAAAGCAAAGCCAGTCCACTCCCAGCTGCAGAATCCTCTTGCAGGAGAGGGGGAAGAAAAATGTACATTTCATTCTCATTCCCATTGAGCATTCAAGATTAGCAAAAGCTTTATGTTTGGGGCAGGCAGGATGGAGAACTGGGAAAATGGGCCAAATCGGATGAGTTCTATATGCAGAAGGCAGACAAGGACTACTTCGGGGCTAAGAATGAGAAGAAAAATACCTGTAAGTTCATTAAATGATTTTGAGTTTGCTCTCTTTTTTTAGATGATAGAGTTCCTGTCTGGCAACTTTCCCCTGTTTTCTCTGATGTCTGCAAAAAAATTCAGAAATTCTCAACTTTTCTGTATGCATTTGGTTAACTATAATTCTTGTTCATCAGTTTTAAGTGCCCAACAGCCAGAAATGATCAGCGCTGGCAACCATCATGTAATTATTTTTATCATCAGCCCTGGACTATTAGTTCCTGCAGAAACAGAGCACTGTGCAGGGACACCTCAAACTACTTGGTGCATAGGTCAGGGCTGCACATCTGTCAGGCTTATGCTGCACACTCTGCATGATCATCCAAGCTTTTCATCCAAGGCAATACCCGCATTTAAGACCTATGAGACCTCGCCTATAGAGATGTCCATTCTTTTCCACTCTGGCAACTTTGGTGAACCTCTCCCAGCAAATAAAAACTAGTCCTATACTATGGCTTATCTTAACCAGTACAGAGGTCTAAATCCCAGCAAGGATAAAAGTAAAGCAGGGACAATTAATTCTTGCCACAAGGAACTGAAAAACTAAATAGGCAAAAGAGTCAGCTGTAATTAGCCTCTTCTAGAGATGAAGTTCACAGAACAGGAGAGATTAATTGACATAATTAGGAAGTCAAGAACTAAAGCAATAATTAAACTGAAATCACCTGAGAAGGCAGCAAGTTCCTTAACCTGAAGACCATTAGTCTTCTCTAAATTGTGTCCTCCCTGATTGGTGACCCCTGCAGTTAATCAGCATTGATTTCAAATTGCTCTTTTAGGTGTAAGCACTGTCTTTTACCCACTGTTGGCTGATGTGCTGGTACTGGCTAGCTTTGTTCAGAGAGCTGTCAAGCTCCTGTGGAATGAGCAGCTGCAGCTGGAGTGCTTATCCTGCTGGATCTGCTGTGGGAAGCAAAACTGGACCACCACAAATAAGCTGTTCCATGCTGACTCACTTCAAAGGAAAATTCTGTTTTGAAGATGCTGTTGGGTCTGCGGTATTTGTCATCTGGTGGCAACTCTCACCTTGGGAAAGAATGCAAAATCCACCAGCTCCCAGCAAGGAGCATTTTAGTCACATCTTGAGGTTAAAATTCAACCTTCACTTTGATGGGCTGTAGTAGGAGAAGAAATAGAATGAGTGATAAGCCTAACTTTCCCTTTCCTCAGCCACAGTCTTCTCCATCACTCCCATTACCTTTCCCACCTCCCACATTGTCTTTCTGCAGGTCAAATGTGTTGAGGGGCTCCCTGTAGACACCTGGGCCACCAATGCATACAGACATTTACAGCCAAATGCTCCTGAAGTTTGAATGCAGGAATGTATTTCAGGACATGTTGTCACACTAACTGGCTGTACAGGAACACACACTCATGTGAACAGCCAGGACAGAATGATAACCTGTGGGGCAGCAGGGCAGCACAACCTGGGGACCACAGAAACCCTCTGCACGTTCTGGCAGGGTGGGCTCTGCTCAGACCCAACAGCTGCTGCTGAGCTTTTCTGTGCTTTCTTCTAGAAACTCTTTCTCTTCCAGCCATTTCTGTGATTCCCTTGTTGAGGAACATATTCAGTGCCAACAGCTCGGTGTGCAGCTGCAGTGTCAGCCACAGGTTAGGCTCTGGGCTGAGAGAGTCCCAGGCAAGAGGCCAGGAACTGGTGCTGACCCTTGGCACAACAGAGGGCCCAGGACCTGTGGCACAGCCAGGTGACCGGACACAGACACAGCAGGATCTGAGGACTCAGCAGGAAGAGCCAGGACTTTGTCACACACAGACTGGTAGAGCATAAAAGTTCAGTGCTTCCTTTGTTTAGGTCCCTCCTTGGAGCTCAAGATGTTTCTGTGTTACTGTACTGTTAAGAAATTGCATTAAGGAACCAGATTTTGAGGCTCTGCTAAGGAAAACCCAGGCTCGAGACGGTAAGAAAACCTGGTCCGAGTGTGTGTGTGGGGCATGTAGGTAGTCAAGTGGGGCACCCATCAGTTCAGTGGAACTGCCTGCTGGCAAGGGGCTTTGGTCCCAGCGGTTAAGTCTCTGGTGGTGGGAGTGTGATTGCCAGAGTGCCTCCTGACTGATCAGTCAGGAAAGTCTCCTTTACACCCTTTCAGAAGGGAGGTTATTCTGGGATACACCAAGGCTTAAATTACACAGCAAGGGCCTCCTTTAACCAACTTGAATTTCATTCCAGGCACACTGCTGTACCTGCTGTCCCCACTGCACAGGACTTCTCCCACCCCTGCCGCTTGGGTGTCCAGTGTTTCACCAAGGTAATGAAAACAATTTTTGTTCCTGTAACTTGGGGCCTAAAAGAGAGAGGCTGACACCCCATACATTCACTAAAGACTTCAGACTCTTCTTATTTAAGCAAAAGAACAAAGATCAGCTCAAGCTAATTCTCTATTTGCTGGAAGTCAGAGTGATAAGGAGAATGTCCCTTGAGTTACTATATTACCTAAAACCTTGGCTTTTGCTTGTGCACTCATTATGGTGGGAGGTGCCTGTATGAATACTGATAGTTTTTATGTGTCTGCTGGTTTTAGATAGGACCCTGAACAAACCCCTGGGAGCTCTCACCTCCCATGTTTGCATTTTGATAAACTTCTGCAGGGTGTGGGATAGGAGATGCTGGAACCAAATGACTGCAGCCCTTTTCTGCTATTTCCTCCTGCAGCTTTATAGCCAACTGCAACTAAAGCATTCAGTGATGGCATTGGGGTCTGAACGTGCAAGTGTGGATCCCTTAAGGTAATCAATGAGTTGGGCTGAGGCATGCCTGTGCATTAGGAAAATCTGTTTGATGGGTGTCAGGAGCTGTTACTCCCAGTTTAATATTGACAATCATCCTATCCTGGGGCAGGTGCCAGTCCCACCTCCATTACCTTGGTCCAGCTCTGTCCCCCGAAACCGGCCCTCGGGGCGGGAATCCACCACCTGGAACTTTAGGGACGTCACGTTCTGTACCATTTCCTCAAAAGTCTTCACCAGGGCCCTGTTCAGCCTGGCCTTAAAGACAGCCGGGGTGGGCTGGGTGACCTCCGCCGTGACGGGGTGCCCCTCCTTCACCCAATTCTTGAAGCCACCATTCAGCACGGAGACTTCCTTGTGCCCGAAGGCCCGGAACATCCACCAGGCGCGGGGGGCATAGAAGGTGCCCACCTCATCGCCGTCGTACACCACCACGTGGGTGTCATTGCTGACCCCCAGCCCCCCCACGTAGTCGGCGAAGTGGGACTCGCTGGGCAGCATGAAGTCGTAGGGGGAGGATTTGTCCCGGCACTCCTCGATGTCGAAGAAGGACGCGCCGGGGATGTGCCTCTCCTTGAACTCCTGCCGGGCGTTTCGCTCCTTGGGGGGGTACCAGGAGGCGTCCAGCACCCGCAGGCCGGCGCCCACCCGCCCTGCCCGCACCGCCTCCGCCAGCCAGGAGGCCGTGACCAGCGCCCGGCTCAGGCCCTGCCGCGCCATCGCGGGGACCGGCGGGGGCGCCGCCGCCGGGCCGCGCTCCCCTCACACACAGAGCCCGACGCGGCCCGGCACACACGAAATGGCGGCGGGAGGCGCGGCCCGAGGGGCGGCACGGAGGCGGCCGCACGGCCGGGACCGGCCCGCCGGGAGCGCTCCCGCCCTCCGGCGGCGGCCGTGGCGGGCGGGCACCGAGGCCCAGCGCGGAGGTACGGGGCGAAGCGGCGGCAATCGCGGCCCCGCCGAGCCGGGGGGGCCCGCAGCGGGCGGCGGCGGGGCCCCGGTACGGCCCCGGCTGCAGGTGTGCTCCGGGGTGGCAGAGGCGTGGGGCCGTGCCTCACCGCCGAGCACCTGGTCCTTGGGGCTGCCCCGCTCCGCTCTGGCTGCTGTGGGTGCTGGCTGGGGTCCCTGGATGGGGCCAGAGGGGCTGCGTGGGGCCGGGCGCAGGGCACGGCTGCCGTGGCTGTCCCGCTCGGGGCATTGTTTGGGATGAGCTCTGGGAAACTACTTTTGGGGCTGGAGCATTTCAAGCCCCCCATTGTAGGCTTAGCCAGCACCTCAGTGCAGACACGGGTCCCAAAATGCATCTTTGTCCAGTTGCTTTTTGAAGACTGGTCTCTAATTTGTGACTCTCTACTTTCTGCAGTCAGGTGGACTCAGACAGAATCCAGAAATTGGCTAGTCTCAGCCAGGACTCCGGAGCGATGTCGCAACAGCTCCTTTACCGAGCTCTGGTGTCTGCAAAATGGCTTTCAGAAGCTATCAAGTCCCAGCAAGCTGGCCTGGCCTTGAGAATCGTGGATGCATCCTGGTATTTGCCAAAGATGAAGCGTGATCCAAAGCGAGAGTTTGAGGAGCGCCACATCCCCGGTGCGGTTTTCTTCGACATTGACCAGTGCAGTGACCGAACCTCACCTTACGATCACATGCTGCCTAAAGCTAATGACTTTGCTGAGTATGTGGGGAAGCTGGGTGTGGGGAATGATTCCCATGTTGTGGTGTATGATGGCAGCGATCAAGGTCTCTTCTCAGCACCTCGGGTATGGTGGATGTTCCGGGTCTTTGGACATGAAGCTGTCTCCCTTCTGGATGGTGGCCTGAAGAACTGGCAGCGAGAGGGGAATGCACTTAGCTCTGGGAAAACCCAGGTAGCTCCATCTGAGTTCCATGCCTCCTTGGACAAGTCCCTGGTGAAAACATATGAGGACGTCTTAGATAACTTGGATTCCCGTCACTTCCAACTAGTGGATGCCCGTGCTGCGGGACGGTTCCGAGGAGTAGAGCCAGAGCCCCGAGATGGTAATGTGCCTTATGAGACAGTGGCATTATAAAGAGGGGTTTAATTTAAGGTGCCCATCACTTGGACTCTGTAGAGGTAATCTAAGAAATAATGGCTGTCTTTTATGGGATGGGACTTTAGGCAGTGTGTCCACCTGTCCTCCTTTTGACTAGCAAGTGCTACTCTTTGAAAATTCAGCAGTAGAGAAGACATATATCTTTTTGTCCTCATGAGGGGCTGGGTGAGGAACATAGCTTTTGATACAATCCAAAGATTCTCATTGGTCTCTTCAAGTATTGGTGCTACTCTTCTCCTCAGAATGGTCTGTGGAGGTGCTTCATCAGTGTGGGTTGCTCTGATGGGGAGAAAGATGTGGAGGGAACTAGGGGAAAGAATGGAACTTGACAGGTTGTACCCATGTGGTAACATGAAGGTTACACGTAGAGCCATCCTTCCTGAGTAATTAGTAATTTAGTAAAGGAAAGTGTAACAAAACTAAATGTACTTGTTTTAACAAAATACTCTAAGCAATAAATATTCCTCTCAGTGAAACAGAAGAGGCTTTGCAATAGACTTGTCCCAGACAATAGAGGTTAATTCCTGTCTGTATTGTTTTTTCTTTAGGAATTGAGCCTGGTCATGTCCCTGGGTCGACAAGCATCCCCTTCACTGATTTTCTCACAGAGTCTGGCTTAGAGAAGACCCCTGAGCAGATCCGCACTCTGTTCCAGGAGAAGAAGGTGGACCTCTTAAAGCCAGTGGTAGCCACATGTGGCTCTGGGGTCACTGCCTGCCATGTGGCTCTGGGGGCCTACCTCTGTGGCAAGCCAGATGTTGCAGTGTACGACGGGGCCTGGGTGGAATGGTACATGAGGGCACAGCCTGAAAATATTATTTCTGAGGGAAAGGGGAAAACAGTGTAATGAGGTGCATTGTTTCCCAGCTGTGCACGTAGCTTGCCTTGAAATAGGATTTGGAAAAGATGGGTTTAGCATTCCTGATTAAGTGTCTTGAGATGAAGGCATTGGATCACAATCATGCGCACATGGTGCTTTGGCACTTTCTCCTTACCCTGCTGCTGCTTAGGAGGATGAAGAGGACAGCAGTTTTGGGCAGCCAGCTCTAGGTGACCCTGCTTGAGCAGATAGGGTGGAACAGATGTCCTCCCAAGGTCACTTCCAACCTCAACCATTCTGTGATTCTGTGACCATTTCACCGTATCAGATGGATGGCAGAGAGTGCTGCTGCCAGCATGGGGAATTAATTGAGTTAAGCCAAGCTCCTGACTCAAAACATTCAGTCATGCTCATTCATGAGATGGTCATATTTATATAACTGTGCCTCATAATCATGCCCTCTGCTTCTGTCCCACCCATGCATGTTATGGCCACTTTGAGTGCAAAACTTTATGGAAAGAGATGACTCTTAAAGGAGCAAGTATAGCATTCAGGTTGGCACTTAGGCTAGAGACTTGAATTGTATTTCTTCTTGTACTTGGACTCTAATTACAGTGTGTACTTAGCCAGTCTTGTAGCCCCATGGTCCAAAATCCCCCTTGAGAAAAAGAAATTATTCTGGGATTTAAACAATGTAAATAAACATGTTTCAAAGTCTTTCTGCTGAATGGAACTTACCTGAGTGTTGCTTAGGTGAATACTTTTCAGGAGTTCTGTTTTTATGGAATCACTTTGTCCACAGTGAAATTCAAATGAGAAATTTCCTTCTCTCTCTGAGTAGAACCACACCTCTTATCCTCAACAAGCTCTTTGACCCAGGAAAGACAATGGCATGCCTCTCTCTTGGGTCTCTGCACCATCTTCCTGCTTTTGGTCCTTGTCCATTTGCTTTTTTGCCTTAAAGTCTACAGCTGTAGGTTACACTGGATGTCAGCTTACATTGTGAAAAATGGACTGCATGGGTATTTTAATTCTTGCCATGCAACCTCACCCTACAAACTTAGCAGAACTTAGACCTGCATACTGGCACCTATTTTTCCCCAAGACATTTTTCTTTTATGTCTAAAAATTGAAAGTACACCAGGTATCCCTGATAATGTCCAAGATTTTGTTCTCTCTGGGATTTTCTCCTCTACAAAAAATGCCCAAAACAAAACGAAAAATCCCACAGAAACCTCCCACAAAAATAAAAAAAAGAAGTCTGCATCTCTTCTGGCTTACTTACTTCTGACCCTTGTCACAACAAACAACACAGATAGGCTGATTTTATGATTATGTGGCCAAATGAGTGCCTGCTCTGTTTCTCCAGGGAAATTTAGTTATTAGGAAAAGTGAAATACTGTTTCAGACTTATTTGCAATAGATGCAGGGAGCTGGCTCTTGTGTGCCCTTCCAAAATATTTGTGATGCATCTTAAGCAATGGGTTTCTTTTTTGCTACTGACCCAGCAGTCCTGGAGGTCAGTGGGGAATCTCTCTGCTTCCTCTTGAGACTGAGATGCTTTTCTCTGTCCTGTGTGTTGCAGGGAGGTGTGTGGCACAGCCCAGCCTGGAGATCTCCACCTGGAGATTGCAAATTACGTGGAAAACTTCCCTCTCCCTTTGCTCTACATTTCACTCCTGTGGCTTGATGACATCTAGCAGGGCCCTTCCCTCTCTCGTTTTTATGCCAAGCTTGGCAGTACTCAAGTGCCCTTCTTGGGCTGAATTTTCTGCTGCAAAATCTCAGTGGTTCTTCCCAGCTTTTAGCAAATCTTTTCCCAGATGCTTAACTTTGCCTTTATTTCTTCACAGAGGAGAAGCTGAGATCTTCTTTCCCACAGCAAGATACTTTGTTTTTCTGGGGTATTCCCTCATATATCATGTATCAAAAATCTATCCAAGAGTGTCTTCTGCTGTTCCCCCTCCTTTTAGTTGAGATCCCTTCTGGTGATGCAGGCAAAGCACTGAGAATGTTGTGAAGACCGAGACAATGTTTTCAAAGCCTGGAGACTTGAAAAACCTATTTTGAGCTATAACACATGCTACTGGACATATGGAACAGCTGAGGGGACTTACACCAGGACTATAAATGTTCTGCAGATCTTTATGTCCCTGACTCAGTGGGTGGGTTTCCTATAGGAACCAAAAGCTGGGGAGAAGTGGATACAATGCAAATCGCTAATGTTCATTACTTTCCTGCGGAACATTTGCTACAGAGAATTTGTAATAGCAAATCTTTGGTGGAATAGGGCTCATGGTAGCCAGAAAGGTAGCCTAAACAACAGCCCTGATGTAGGAAGAAGGTCACACTGACCTGTGGCCACCTTTAGACTAGAGTTTTTAGAGATCTATATAAATTTGAGAATCCCAGGCCAGTATGTAAACTCTTTATTGGTTTATTGGTATATTTTACTATCTGAAATACTTTTGTCCTGAAGGAGGTCTGGATTCTATGCAGTCTGGCCTAGTCAAAAGTAATCCCATAGTCCCCTGTTCTTCACTTGTCTTCTTTGTCATCTGCCTTCCTCTTCCTTCTGTTCTCCTCTCTAGCAGTCAGGTTTCACTATTTAATGCTTCATTTCCCAGCAAACTTTGTTCCTCTGCACATTTTTCCAAATTCTAAAGCAGCCCTTCTTCTACTAGCACCACTGGCCCGAGCGCTGCATGAGCCATAGTAATTGGTGTTGCCTGCAGGGACATTTCATATTCCTCCCATCTCTCCTGGTCCCAGCTTACAGCCAAGTGCTACACAACCATTCTGTCTCCTTCTCCCAGCAGTCTTCAGCAAAGGGGCTGCATGATGCACATTCACATGCAGGCTTTGCATGCTGCTTTGAATTCAGGTATGTTGCTCACAGATCTCATGCAGCACAAGGAGCTGGAGGAAGATTAGCTTGTCTGTATGCCATGGGGCCTTTCTCTTCATGCTTCAAAATGCCTGGCTCAGCTGGCAGTCAAGCTGGACTCTATTCTTCAACTGTGTCCACCCCCAAGTCCACTGCAGGGAATTTTATTTGCCTGATTCACTGTTGGCTTACTAGCAAAATATCATAGCATCACTTATCTTTCCCTCTCCACTTCAGAGTGGCACTGATTGTACATGGACATGCCAACTAGTTTTTCCTGGTTTCTTCTTTGGTGCCTCCTGCCATGTAATCCCCAATATGTGTCCCCAACCTGTCAGAGTGGTGACACTGTCTGTGCCAACACATGGTGATCCCTGCTCCCATTGCTGTTCCACAACACAACAGTTCCCTAAGTGCAGCTCTACAATGCCAGCGATGCATCATATGCCATGTACAAAGCTGCAGAGCACTGCAGTGTGTATAACCTTCTGCAGGATTGCATTGCAGGCCTGACTGCTGAACCAAGACACTCCCAGTTTACCTCCTGCTCTGTTCTCCTCACCTCTGTGGAGAGGTATTCAGTGGCTGTCAAGTTTTTCCTGGTCTCAGTCCATCTGTGCAATGGTCTCTATGATTTCACTGGGGACTCTGCAAAGTTGTACGGTCTTACACCATCACACAGCCCTGTGTAAGCTCTTGCTTGCTCTCCCTCTGTTTCTGTGCATGAGTTCTATATACAGTTATAAAGGCAGCAGGAACAAGTCATAGAATCATAAAACCTTAAGGCTGGGAAAGAACTGATATCATTGAGTCCAACCTTCGACCAAACAGCACTGATTGCTTAAACTTACCTCTCCTGTGTCCTATTGCTTGATTTTAGGGGACCTTAACAAAGGCACATTAATTGCATCTCAGTACTAGATCTGGTGATAGTGTGCAATCAAGTCTGTATTTAGCCCATGCCACCAACTAATCAGAACATTTCAGTTGGTAACTCACCCCACACTAGGTTCTTCCTAAAGAAGATTTTCACATACTGTGGAGAAATCCCTGGCCCAGTGCATTTTCAATGATTTGAGGTTCCAGCCACAAGTGGAGACTGGTATCGATGGAAGAAAGTATGCCTTGAATATAGACCACCCTGGACTCATAAGCAGCATTGTCATTGGGGACGTTGGAAAAGAAGGTATTGAGAACAAGAGATGGACCCTAAAAAGGAGAAAGAGGATGAGGGGATGTGAGAGGAGGAAGAGGAGAGGGTGAACCCTTGGTAAAAGGGAAAAAATTGGAGGTAGATTTCTTGCAGGGGGAGATAAGGGGCTATAGGCTGCCACTCAACTGCTGCATTCATATTGGAGAGCCACAGTCCTCACCCCAGTTCCGTGCTGGAGCTGCAGCCAGCACAGACAGGGTCCTGTAGCTCTCACACACCAGAGTGCAGGGCAGAGGTCTCCAATTTGCTGTGTTTTGACCCAGAGCCAGAATTAGGAGGACAGCAGTCTGACAGCCCAGAGCTGTGTTGCACTGTGATGCTTCAGCCCGAGTCAGTGTTAGTCTGAGCATCTTTGATGCATGTTACTGCTCAGTGGAGACTGGTCCCAGGGCTGGGCAGTAATTTTGGCCAGAGCTTGCTCCATGTAGGTAGACAAAAATGTTTTTTCATGCTCTGTTAATGGTCATTCTAGTGCTGGTTCAAAATTTTTTGAATTTACAGCCTAGAGCAGCTGAATTGTTCCTGTACTTAAATTAGCTGAAGGCCAGCAATCTTGAAACCTCTCCCGTGTTACCCTCTCTTCCTCTCCTCCCTTTGGCACTCCTCCACAGAAGGAGCAAAGTGCACATGCCATCTTTGTGAAGGAAATCCTGGGTGATTTGGGGGAAGGGCGATGCTTCCTTCTTCTGTAGTGATAAAAGGGAGTGATTTGCAAGTAAAAGAAGAAGGAAGGACAAGAAGAAAAGGAATGTAAGAGTAAAACCTAATGTTTCCCCTTACCCAGCCTCTTCACTCAACAACACCCCACCTCTAAAGGCACTAAGATCTAAATACAAGGAAAAAAAAGTGTTGTGTGTCTCTGCAGTGCTGCTGATGCCTTGCCAAGGAAGAGCCAGGAAGTTGCTTAGGTGGAGGAAGGTTTTGAGCCACAATGGGGTGAAACACCAGCGTTTCCTTTCCATTCTTATTGTGCTCCAGCTGCTGGCAAGCACGGCTGTGCTTAGGTGGGAGTGGGAAAAGCAGAGCTGTTCGAGAGAGTTTGTTCAGGTTGTGTCCATGCCAAAGGAGTGTATTTGAACAGAGTCCCCTGGGGCATGAACTGCTGAGCACCAGGCTCGGCCTGGCAGGAGTGAGTGCCAGAGGCAGAGCAAGATTCCATTACACAGGATTGGCACATCAGCCTTGGCGGGTGATACACGCCTGAGGCAGAGGTAAAACTCCACAGAGAGATGAGTTACAGTCTGAGCTCGCTGTTGCCCAGACACAAACAGGGATGGCAGGAGCCCAGGGGAAGGATGCAGGGGGTTTGTGCTGGTAGAGCAGGCCAGAGCGGCAGTTTGCTGGGTCAGCAACTCTGAGTTGGAAGAAAAATTATTCCTGCTCCCTGTCAGCACTTCATGGAGATTCAAAATACATTTCCCAGAACTGTCCCTACATATGTTAGCAAGAAGGCCACTGTTTGCATATTTTGCTGCAAGAAAGTGTGGCAACTGATGTGACACTGAACGGTGAGCCTGGGTGGTGGATGTCCTGAAGGGAATGCTGTGAAGTACAGCGCTGAGGTTATGCTTCCTGTCTCCGAGGAAGCTTGCAGAAAAGAGCCAGGACTGGAAGCTGGCTGAGTACCAGCCGCAGGGCTGAGGTCATGTGCTGCAGTGCCCTTCGTTACTGCATCCTCATTGCAGGAACAGCGAGCTGGGAAAACTACAGTTCCCATCACCCTTTTGTGCATGAACCTGCGAAACTACAGTTCCCAGAACCTTTTAATGAGCCAGAGAGGACGTCTGTGGAAATAAACGCCGACGATTTTTGCATAACACCCTGCACCTCCGGAGTGCTGACTGGCCCATGGTCTGTGAAAACGGGAACAGAGGAAAAGCCAGGGAGTGTCAGCTCTGCGGAGCTGTCGCTTTGCCCACCCCAATAGCTGCAGTGATATCCTCCAGCGCCGAGAAACCTTCCTCCTCTCAGGACTCCCCTGGTAGTCACAGGGAAGATCCTGGTTCCCGGGAAACACGGCTGCTGCGGAGGGAGAGGCAGATAAACTACAGATCCCGGCATTCTCCGACAGGCAGCACCTGCGGCAGTCCCTGCACGCCGTGGGGGAGGTGGGGGTGAGGATGAGGATGGAGGGCAGGGAGGAGATGCAGGACGCTGTGGGGCTACGCTGCACCTGGGACATTCCGCCACCCGCTGGCACCCAGGCCAAGTGGGTGAGGCTCAATGTGGGGGGCACCGTCTTCCTCACCACCAGGCAGACCCTGTGTCGGGAGCAGAAATCTTTCCTGTGTCGTTTGTGCCAGGGCGAGGAGCTGCAGTCGGACCGGGTAAGGCAGCTGGGTTGCCTCCCGCACCGTGCCCCACCGAGCCTGGGGAGGGCTGGAGGGATTCAGGGACGGAGCCAGACCCCAGCAGCTGCAGGAGCAACTGAGAAATGCCTGCTCTTCCTGCCCCCCTCCCGGGAAGGATTTCCCCATGTCAGATTCCCCCTTGTTGTAGCCTGACACCTGCCTTCCCGAGCTGGGGAAAAGAGAGGCCATCTCCCCTCTGCTCTTGCTCTCCTTCCTCTTTGTCACCCCACATCCTGGGTCTACTTCCCAGCTGTGTTTGCCTGACTCAGCCTTGTTCCTGTAAGGGGATCTCTGCTCTCTCGCACCAGGCCGGGATGCACAGTTGCACAAAGAGACTGAGGCCTATTTTTTGGGCTTTTTCAGCTGGATTGATTTATGCTGAGGTGGGCATGCTGAGCAGACCAATACAGGAGTTGAAGTGTAAGCTGCACTGATTTGACTAGGGACTCTCAGGGACCCATGGTTTCCAAAGAATCTTAGAAACAGTGGACATTTTTGCTTAGGTTTGTATTTTCTTGTATTCTAGGGCATTTTACAGCTGACTACAGTTTTCCTTGGGTTTTTCCTCCTTGTGATCTATATCTGTTGCTAGGATGAAACTGGTGCATACCTAATAGATCGGGACCCCACTTACTTTGGACCGATTCTGAATTTCCTCCGTCATGGGAAGCTGGTCCTGGATAAAGATATGGCTGAAGAGGGTGAGTTGTGGAATTCAGAAAGATCCCACTTACCACAGTCAGGAAAAACAGGACTTGTGGTCAGCCTTGTTGTCTGTCTCTTGTTCTCATTGTGGATGTTGATGTGGGAGGATTTCAGAGAGCTATCCCTGCAAAGCATGATGATGTCTCCTTTACTAAAGGGGTTTGGAGTGTGTGAGGAAGACATCCTTGCAGGTGTGGCATCACAACTGTCCAGCAGAGATGTCACCAAGACAGTAGTAGACAAGATCTTAGAGCCTCAATAAACCATTTTTTACTGGTTCCTGATCTACTTTTAACCAGGCTCTATGACTGAGTTTTCTATTAATGTCTGTTTCTAATTAGGAATGAAAGCCCAGTAGACCAAACAAAACCAAGCTCATCTCTTCTACTGACTGTAATAAAGACCATCATTAATCAGTGATGTGCACTGTATGCTGCTTGTGCTCTCATGGGTTGTGGACTGCAGAAATTCCAGTGGAGCAGGTCAGACAAACCAGTCCCTCCCCTGAGGTTGACAGTGGGTCCAATAGGATGACTTGGTGACATCACAGTGTTACCAGACAGCAGTCCACAGTGCCTTGTTATTTTTTGGATGCTAGGGTCTAATAAGGAGCCAATTCCAAATACAAATTGTGCTGTCCAGCCCTTACCAAGCACAGTTTCTGCATGGTCATTTGTCTTCTTGCCTTTCTTATACATTTTTACCTAAAGCAAGGAAATTTTCTTCAGAATAGTCTTGCCAGTTATAAATCAAAAAATATACCCAACTAATGGTACAGGATTGTAATAAACACAATTTTAAGGTGCTTCCTACTTGACATTTCTTGTAATCCTGAGGTCAGACAGAGTTCATCCACAGGTTTTAATATCAAATCTGAAATGTAAATAGGAGTCCAGTTCATTTGCATTGCCTTTTTTTTTATCCTGCTGCAAACATTCAGACTGGTGTAAAACTAACTCATTAGGCAATTCATTGCTGAATGAGAGACACAGAAGAGGTCTGAGTGTGTCAGGTAGTGAAGGATCAATCTCCCCATGTATATTCTCTTTTTACTGCCCTGGGGATATGTGAGCATTGGCTTCTAGCCACCTTTCCCTCACTGACTTTCTGGGAACCACTTCCCTTTTCCTGAAGGCCTTTTAGCAAACAGGTGAGTCTCAAGAGAGGTGATGGATGCAAACACCACCAAAAAGAAAAAAACACCCCTAGAGAAAAAAACAAAAACATTTCTGTTTACCTACTTTAAGTTGAAGCACAGGGAAGAGAGCCAAAGATCGTATAATGTCATATGGGGTTGCAACTCCAAGTGGCCTAGGAGGCAAGTTAGGCTTTTCTTGGGTCTTTCGGTGACTTGTCAGAACTTCAAGTTTTGGTTTTCTGCCTTAATAAGAGAGTCTGAGCAAGTTCAGAAAAATGGTCATTGAGAGAGACTGGAGCATGCAGCTGTTCTCCTTGGCCAGGTATCTGGAAAAGGTATTAGCAGTCCTCAGCACAAGCCTTCACTGGCAGTGCCTGTTTCTGAAGTGGCAGGCAGCATAAGGAAGTTGGGGTGAGCATTAGAAACAAGATGCAGAGGGCCGAGTTTCAATTCTGTGCAGTAAGGGTTTCAAGCCTGTTAAAAAGTAAGGCAGTTATATAATTTCTCCCTATGGACCTTGTGAAGCTCAGAATTGATCTTTTGCAAATCAAAAAATAAAGATGGACTGCTAACTTTCTGTCTTTGTGGTCCTTCTGTCTGTCTTTCTCAGGGATCCTTGAAGAAGCCGAGTTCTATAACATTGGTCCTTTGATCCGAATAATCAAGGATCGAATGGAGGAGAAGGACTACACAGTGACACAGGTATGGCAAGATAGAGGGAGTGGGGAAAGCAGAGGGTGTAAAAGGCAGGAGAGGTGAGTCTAGAGGGAGAGAAGACTTGAGAGAAGCAGCAAGGAATGGAAGGAAGCAACTAAAGATTATGTGCTAATCCCTATGCAGCAAAATCTTGAAGGGGACAAGCCAACACGAATTTAGTTACGATAAGCAAGTTGCAGTCTTGCTTTACATCCCAGAATTAATGCTGGATGTAGCCCCTGAAACTAAGAAAGCTCCTCTTGCTTTTGGAAGAAGGTAGCTGGTTGCTGTGTGATATAGAGGAATGTTTGTGAGGAGAGCAAACGTGTCATGGAGAGGAGGACTGGTGTGGGGAGTCCTGGGATTGTAATAACAATGAAGAACATGGAAATACCTGTAGAGAAACCTGGGGGAAATAGGTGAAGAGATGGCTGTGAAAGAGTTAAATGCAGACAAGGAGTCAATCCTGTGGCACAATCACAACCCGTCTTGGCCAGGAACCTTTGAAAATATTTCTTAGAGGGAGGATTGTCTACTATCTCACTTTTCATCTTGTCTGCCTCAGGTTGTAAGCCTCCAGCAGCACAGTCACTTTGTGCTGCAAAGCCCCATCAGCATTTGTTGCATTTGCAAAAATTATTTTCTACTTACAAGTGCATACTCCCCATCAAAAGAGGGCGGTATCTTCTGGGGACAATGCAAGGAGCACTCAGCTCAGTCCCTGCTTTTTAGAAGAGATACTGCTCTTACCTCCAATGACAGCACAGGAGAAAGCTGGATTGTGGTTTCCACTCCCCTTTCACCTGGGGCATGGGGGAGAGGACAGATCTGTCAAGGAAGGGGGTATTACTCCTTCATTCTGCAGGAGGGGAACAGCTTTTAGCATGTGACTGTTGTCAGTGTGCTCTGCAATTTTGCTCTCAGGTACCTCCTAAGCATGTCTACCGTGTGCTGCAGTGCCAGGAAGAGGAGCTCACTCAGATGGTTTCCACTATGTCAGATGGATGGCGCTTTGAGCAGGTATAGATAAGGCAGAGCAGGGGGGGAGGGAGTTGCCTTCTGGGGAAAAGATCATGGATACCATAGAGTTGCCAAGCAAGGCTCCTTCCCTCTCTGAGAATACTCGGAAAGTCATTGATTGAGCCATCATGCTCAATCAATGACTCTTTCTTGCCCTTTGTAGAGGTTTAGAGGATACTGTGTGAGACCAGACTACTTTGCATCCTGTCTGACTTCTCTCCTGGTTCTCTGTGTTGTCTCCTCATCTTAGTTATGAGGCTTTCCAACAGGATTATGGATTGGACTCAGTGCTGCATGGTGGGCTTTCTGCCTTGCTCCCCAGGTGGAGTGAGTGTTTCCAGGAATATGGGCTTGTGATTCTTGCTCTCATCTTTTCCAGCTTGTGAACATTGGCTCATCCTATAATTATGGGAATGAGGATCAAACAGAATTCCTGTGTGTGGTCTCCAAGGAGTTGTACAACTCCCCCAATGGCCTGAGCTCTGAGCCCAGCCACAAAGCCAAGGTGAGATTAACTTTGCTACGGCCTGCTCCCATTGCCTATGAGATCCTTTGCTCTTTGCTCCTTCTCTCTTTTCACTCCCCCTTGAGACAGTGGGGGACCTCAGTGGTGAAATACAGGGGCCTGTCCTGGTGTTCAGCACCGTGGCATTACACCCATTGCCCAAAAGGAGGAGTGTGTGTGTTGGAGGGGTGGTGTGTGGCTATGTGTGGCAAATGGCTTTAGCAAGTCACCTTGGCACCTCTCATGCTACTCTAACCTTGGCATCCCTCATGCCTCCTCATGCCCATTCTGTCTGTATCACTGCCTATAGGGTATTACTTCCCTGAAGATTTTGCAGCGTTCTCTTTCCTTTTTGAGTCTCAGCCTGAGGGACAGATATCTCCTGCTCCCCTTTTGAGGGAAGGACAGAAACATGTGGCAGTGCATGACATTCTGTAGACACCCAGGATGCAGGAAGGAACACTAGCAACTGATGGCAGTTGTTGGATGGTGGGGTCACAGCACTTGTAAGTGGGTTAGATACCTTATGTGATACTCCAGAGGAAAACAAGCCTCACTGTTCCCTGACCTAGAATTATCCTGGCCATGGGGAAAGGTCCCTTTTTATTCCAGTGTTATGACAATTGCTTTGTTCCGTTGTGTGTGAGAAAGAACTGCCATGGCTCATCTTGCAAGTATTTCCACTCTTTCTTCCTTTTGTCCCACATGTTGGGCTACAGAACACAGAGGAGGACCTGGAGGAGGAAGAGCAGGAGGTGGAGGAGGAGGCAGAGGCAGAAGCAGAAGCAGAGGAGAAAGGTGCAGCAAATCCCTGAGGAAAATGATAAAAATAACCCCCCAGGCATAGACTCGTCCACCTTTCTGGTGAGAGCTCACAGCTAGCAGCAGGGAAGGATTAGAACAGGTGTGGGGTGTGGGGGCTGTCCTCTCCAGGAGTTAGAGTCTCTCTGGAGATAAAGCTGATAGGGGAGAGCTGTTACCATGGCTGCTGCTTTGTATTTTTAACTGTTTGGTTTATCTACGGTTTTATTTTTATTTGCAGACTGTCCATCTATTCGGGATTGTGCTAAACTCTCTTCCTGTGGACCCTCCCTTCTGCTCCCTTCCGTGTCCATCCCAGCACTGTCATCTACCTCCCACATTGCCCCACTCGCCAGCCTCCAGCATCCTTTCCTCTGCTCTCTTTGTCCCTCAGGGCTCAGAGTGGTCTCTGCCCAGGGCCCTGTTTCTCTCTGCTCCTCACTTTTCCTCCTCTGCAGGTATGTTACCTGTCTGCACTCCCAGCTCCTGCCAGCCTGAGCTCTGCATGAGTGACTCACTTCCCTCTTGTGGGTATGGCCCTGGTTTGTAGAGCTTGGGGAGGGGAAGGAGGGAGGTGTGAGGTTGACTCATCCCTAAGGTGGCTTTACTTATTCTGATCCTATGTGTGCCTTTACCTGCCAAGCAGATCCTATGGCTGTGGACCAGAGGCTCTGGCAGCAGAAAGGAGAGTGCAGCTGGGAGAGGGGTGGAAATGAATGCAAAGCAGGCAGGGGTGGTTCGGGGAAGGGGTGGAATTTTGCCATGTGTCTGCGTGACATGCATGCCAGATCGCTTCTCCAGACTGCCGTCCGCAGCTCCTTTGCCTGCCAGCCCGGGCAGCTTGCAGAAGGCAGCTTGTTATTTTTCCTTCCCTGGGCTTTTCACCCACTGGCTCTACCAGGATGAGAGTGCAGTGGGAAAGGTGGTAAAGACAGAGCAGAAGCAGCTGGTCCCTACTGCAGATGTTCTCACAGCTGTGTGCAAAATGAGCCTCTCTGCTCTGCCTCCTGCTTAGGAAGGCTCGCTGGTGACATGCGTGGGGCTGGGTATGGAGAGTGTTAGAAGGAGGATTCCTCTTCATACTGCAAAACTGTGATGCTCATGTTAGACTGGAGATGTTCAGTGTCAATCTCCACTGGTCCTGATGGAGAGCACTTGTTAGCTGGTTGACAGTTCTCTCTCCCTCTATTTGAAAGCCTCCTTGTCTGTGGCTGTGGGACCTGAGTGTTATCTTAAGACTCAGTGTATGTTAATCACATGGACTTTTTCTTTCTTCTGTTCTGGTTTCCCACCCTAATTTCTTTTCTTTTTCTTCTGTTTGTGTTTCCTCTGTCATTTCCCCCTTTCTGTTTCTTACTCTCCCCTCCATGCTCAGTTGCTTTTTATTTCCTACCATTGATTGTGTTTTTCTTTCTCTCTCCTTCTCTAGCTGTTACAAGCCAGAGATCTGAGGATGTGATCTGAACACTCTGCTCCAGCCTTTTCATTTTTTGTTTATATCTTTATTTTTGTACTGCAGTGTATGGCAGCCCCTTGTCCCACAGTGACGCCCCCGGCCCCCTTCACTCTTCACATGCAGCCATTTTTTTTTTACAAACTCAACTCGGAGGGCTGAGCTTCCAGCCCTGGAGGAGGGCAGATGCTCCATAGAGCTCCCGAGCTGCTGTAGGAGCGGGAGCCCACAGCCCCCTCCTATGCCTGGCAGTTTGGCTTTCCTTAATGTCACAGTGGCCCCTGGTGGGGACATCAGCGACCAGCCACTGCAGCCTGCGGTCCCTTCCTGAGCACCCTGGATGCAATTGAGGACCGAGGTGGTGGCAGCTGTGGAAGAACCAGCCCTTGCCCTTTCACTGTTGCAGGCAACAGGTGTGGGCTTGTGGCCTGGGGACAAATGCAGAGCCATCGTCCTTTCCTGGGTCACCTGTATCGCTCGGAGGTGTCCCTGTGCTGGGTATCACGTTCCTTGGTGCCTCCCTCCCTGTCCCCCAAAGCAGCTCTGTGCCAGCAGTGTGAGGAGGAGAATGATGTGCTGCCTGTGTACCAGGAACATGCTGGCAACCTGATGTTGTGTCAGCCAGCACCAAGCAGATCCCAGTTTTGGGGAGTGGGGTGTTTGCTTCACTGCTGTGTCTGAAGACTCCTGAATAAAATTCACAGTCTGTTCCTCCTTGCTGCCTCTCATTTTAAGTGGCAAGAATTCATTCCTTCTGTAAGGGGGTGGGAGTTGGAGAAAAGGAGTTTGGATTCATCACCTGGAGCCACCAGAAGCTGCTCATGCTGTGCCTGTCTTCTGGGGGTTGGAGGTGCTTCCCACTGTGTCTGTACTGCTGCATCCCAGGTGCAGGCAGCTGGGCTCCAGAGCAGGTTTACTTATTGGTATCTGCAGCCCTAAATCATAACAGTAAGTGAGGACCACCTGTCTAGTGAACTTATTGGTCCGAGGGACATCTGATGTGGGGGGGTGGGCAGGAGTGTGGAAACTTTTGCCAGTTGCCAGTGCCAGGACTGAAGTTTGATCAAAAACATATAAACCTCAAGATAATTTTTAGCAGAGTGAGGCAAACTGGAGCCAAAAAAATCCTCAAATTAATTTTATTTGTAATTCCAGAGAGTGGCCAATTATGTACACAAAAACACATACACACACGTATATCTTTAGTTAAAAAAACCAAACCTGCAGCAGTTGCAGTTTAAGCCCTGAGCCCTGAAGCCTTCTGCTTCATCTCCTGCATTACCTGAATAGGAGATGGAAAAGGCTGAGATGCCCTGATGTTAAAGGTATTTAGAAGGGCTAGGGAAGGGGATGGGAGCCTGCTCCAGCATTTTTACTGGGGGAAGTGCAGCAGTGGAGGCTGGGTGCTGCTCCAGCAGGGAGGCAGGACACGTGCTTGGGGGTGCGATGCTGGGCTCATGCCTGGGAGTCAGTGAGACGTGAAGAGTTGGCTGGCTGAGCTGAACAGCACACTGAACAGCACACGCCAGCTAAGAAAAGAAGCAATTAGGGAGATGGAAGAGGAGGAGTGATGGGAGGGGAAGGGGGATGAAGGATAAGCAGCAGGAAGGAAGAGGGAGGCAGATTGATTTCACAGTTACTGGAATCTCTAACTACATCAGTCACATTTTCTTCCAGCAAATGTTCCAGCATAAGACTGTGGCTGAATCACATGGTTCATGGAAAGTTCAGCTCCCCTTATTCCTCTTCTCATACACCATCAGCTTGGGTCTATTGCTGTGTGTCATGTCATTGCTCCCCCAGCTCCCCCACCTGCCTCCGTTCTCTCCGCTTTTGGATGGATGGCCTAAAAACCCCTTGGGGTGCTCCCTGGGAAGCACTAATGGGGAAGTGCTGCTTTTCTCTGCCTGCTTTTCTCTACAATCCCTGCAGCAGCTTTTTTTACCCAGTTCAGAAGAGCATCCTGGGTCTGACAACACCCCACACTCTCTTTCTTTGGGATTCAAGTGAGCAAGATCAGGAATGAGTGCCATGTGAGTGTAGGTGTGATGGGGAGAAGACAGAGATGCACTTTTCTCAGCTCATGGTTTGGTTCATCCAGCCCAGCACTTGAGTGATCCTGGTGTATACTCCATAGTGATTTGCACGTGCACATCCCATTCCCCAGCTGACCAAACCAGCCAGAAACCATCTGCCACTGGGTTCTTTGCAGGCCAGTGGACCTCCAGAATCACCCTAGAAAAAAGAAAAGTAAAATGAAGTGGTGGTGATCCACCAGCTTCTGCTGCTGCCTGATTACACTGTCTTTGAGCCCCTCTGTATACAGATCCCTGTATCCCCTCAACTCATGCCTGGGACATTTGCAACATTCCTTGTACCTTAGGTAGATGTCAAAAACAGTCTCCAGTGCAAACATCTGACTCAGTTATACTTTCATCAGGCAAGTTCCTCCCCCTCAGACAGCTCCCAAAAAGCTGATCGTGCTACTGATTCCTCCTGGCCCATATGGCATTTCCAAATATTTGGCAGGCAAGGATGATTGTTGGATTTTAACTGGATTCCATGAGGAATGGCAGAGAGGAATTCCTTGAGATTAATAGTAATGAAGGAATACACAGGTTACTGTGTATGACAGGTGCTAAAGAGGTTGAGGGTGTAAGAGAGTGATGTAATCACCTGACTTGAAAGTGGGAGGTAGGGTGGAAAATAGGCTGAAATGAGAAAAGGGTAATTTAACTGTATTTGGATCCTGTCTAAGGCAAGGAAGAAGTGGTCATGAGAGCTGTTGTTGGCTGCTTAGATCAGAGGAAGTATTGGGAAAATGACCTTATACGGTCTTTCCTCCCTCATTTCAGGCTGTGGATTGCATTTGACCTGGATCACATCCCACCTCTGGTAGTCAACCCTGATCCCACAACTCCTCTGTCACCTGGCAGGCATCCTTCTTGCCCTGGTAGTACCCAGCACACAGCATCCTGGGAGTAATCGTGTAGTGATAAGCCTCGCTGCAGATGTTCTGCTGGATGAGCTGCACGTCCACCTTCTGCAGAACATTGCTGATATGCCCTGAAAAGTAGAGCACCTAAATTAGCACAGATGAGCTATGGTGGAACTTCCCCTAGCCCATGTGTACCTCACTGCGTGCCCAAACCTGCCACTGGAATTTCTGTTCTGCTCTCCACTGCCATCACTGTCTCTGACTTTCAGCAGAGCACTTCTTCTGTGTGGAAGGCATAAAATTCCCCTTCATTCCTTTCCATACAGGGATATGTTGGGAGCACTTCAGTTTCTGGGATAAGGCGTATTCTGCTTTGTGGAAACCTCTGGGTTGTCAGAATCTTGGGTTTATTGCTCACTGAAATGGATGTTAAGCTCTTCTGTCTAAGAATACAAACCAGGAGTGTCCAGTTCTGTATAGTCTCCTGAGTGCTTCCAGTTAGGAAGCAGCTGGAGCAAGTCTGTAGGAGGGTGAAGGCACTAAGCTGACCTGAAGGGCTGTTCTAGTCTTTGGATGAAGAAGCACACGCTGTCCCCATACAGATTACCAGACTGCCATGCCTGCCTCCCCACATGAGGTTTCAGGGCACTCAACAGATAACTTTGGTCAACCTATTACCCAAAATCAGAGGGAGTGAAGGAGGCACAATGTTTTGGGATGAGCAGAAGGCTGTTCTACCTATGACACATCTGCACCTATGTTTCTGCCTCAGCCCTTCTGCAGTAGGCCACCAACAGACCTTGAACCTACCACCTTCCTTGAGGGCTCCCCAGCCAGTGCTCCAGCAAAGAAGGCCAGGCTCAAAGATGTGAGAAGGAGGAGGCAAGCAGATGGGCTGGATTAAGGGTGAGATGATCACAGGATGATCCAGCTGGAGCAGGGCCACATCATAATCATGGCTGTCCTCCTCGTAATAAGGATGGAGAAAGAGATGGATAACCTTGAAGGACACCTCTGTATGGCCAGTGGCATTTTGCAAGTATTTACCCAAGTAAACGGTCCAGATGAAGGGGGAGGCCAGCCTGTAGAATGCAGCAAAGGAGCTTGGGACCCAAAGGGCACACTTTGCAGGTAATGCTGTCCCCATCCTAGCACATGCTGACATCTCCACCGTTGTGACAGTGTGGGGACAACACAGAGCCAAAACAAAGGTGGAGCTGTGCAGCATCTTCCACTATCATTGTCCCCTCAAAACTGCTCTGCAAATTCCAGCATTGCCCCTTTTCCCCTGCACACACCACCAGATAATACTGCATATATCCACACCCCTTTCTTCAGTTCCAAGCCATGGAGAAGCATGGCTGAAGTGCCATAGGAGGGGTGCAGCTGCCCCATGACATTTTCATCAGTCAGAAGAGCCTCCCATCATGCATGACATGGAAAGCAATGCAAATCTTTCCATCCAGCACCTCCCCTCTCCATTTACCTCTCATCCTGGAAGCAGTGTGCAGCTGAGACCACCCAGCGGTCAGCAATGAGTGTTCCCCCACAAATGTGGCGGCCCCGAACTTGCAGGCTGGCCTGCCATGGCCATTCCCCTTCCACAGAATTCATACCACCTACAATCCTGCTGAGAGGGGCTTGCATCCCACAGTCTGAGGAGGACACACAACAGGTACTTCAGGGAAGGAAGGGAACATGATATACTGTGTCTGCCCTTCCTTTCCTACTTAGTTGACTGAAGAGTTTGACCTCTAATTGCTTGTCTTACCCAGCCAGCGCATACTTTATATACTGCCCAGGACAGGTCTAGTGAGCACTCCCTCCCAGCATTCCCCACCTCCAGCTGCAGCCTGGGGATGCCTTTGGGCAGCATGCTGGCTGTGCTGTCAGGAGACCCTCCTGGTCATTCCCCTTCACTGCCTACTGAGGCTCCAGAAAAAAACAAGTAGGGAAATCAAAACATTAACTCTCTCACTGCCAGTGACATGCAGACACAGGTGATTTTCCTGGCTGGAGCTTTGTACAATGGCATATAAGCCAAACACAGTGGTCAAACAGGCAGCCTGTGGGTTGAACCTGGCCTGAGACATGTCTGTCTGACCTGACGCCTCTGCCTGAAGGAGGCAGGGAGCAGCTGTCCGAAGAGCAAGAGCTTGCTCATACTCAGCACAGAGTTGGCTCATTGCTGCTGTCCCTGCCACTGCAGGGTGGAGCAGGGGCACTGGTACTGTGGGACTGAGGTGGGGAGAAGGTGGTGGAACAAGGGGGTGTGGGTGCTTCTTCTGGGTGGTGGGAGAAAACGGGACAACTTGCAGCTACATGTCATCCTGAACCTGCCTGGCTGACATGCGGCTGATCATTTCCTCACCACAGTGATTCTCATCAGACAGGTCCTTGCAGTCTGCAGTGGTGTCACACAGGGGGTTGGGTTTCTTCACACAGGTCCCGTCTTCACAGCGGTAGGTGAAAGGACCGCAGAGGACCCCTGCAAAAAGGAAGGGAAGCCAAGACTGAGAGAGGGCAGCTCGTTGCAGATGCAGCCTTAAGTCCTTTAAATGAGGAGAAAGGGCAGCAGAGAGCTTGGGGGAACTCCATAAATGATGACAGGGAATTTCCTGAACAAACAAACAGCTCACAAACATTGTAAGGAGGCTGGGCGAGCTAACTCCCAGATGGTGCCCTTATGTCACATGTGGAAAGTACTCTACAGACAGCCTTGGTTCGAACACAGGGGTGGGCATTTGTCATCCCAGCACTGTCCCCTCCCTACCTC